TGTAAAAATATGGGGTGCTCTACCCATATGCTTGATGCGCCTAAGGCATAAAAAAAGGATCTTAACTTTTTACTTACAAGTAAATGTCCATTAAGTATTTGACTGCTTATTTTAATAGACATATGTTGAGATTACTCTGGACAGACAAAAGGAGTAATGAAGATTTCTTGAAAGAAACTGTCTCACAAAGAGGACTGATTGCCCAGATCAGAAAGAGACAATTTACATTCTTTGGATGTGACGAGTACTTTGTTACAGTAGAAAAGTTGGAGGGGAATAGAGGCAGAGGGGGACTGAGAGAACAGATGCTGGACAGTTTGACATCATAGCATGTAGAATCATTTGTGTCAGAGTTGATTGAAAGTACACGAGACAGGAGGTTGTGGATGGACATGACTACCAATGCCACATGGCATGGACTTTGAGAAGAAGATAGTTTCATAGACCATTGGGGGCTGTTGCTGAATCTACTAAGTTCTTACTTTGTATGACATTTCTTAATTGGTGCAACCTTCTTGTGGGTGACCAGTCGCTCTACAGAAAGAAACCAAGCCATTTGGATTCAAACCCAGTGCAGTGAATAAATTTTTCTTGCCTTTAACTTGTTCACCCCAAGAAGCCGCAAAACTGACACTTCCAGATGGGGTCCAGTTCTCCATAAATGTCACTTTCCCAACTTGTCTATGGTGACCCATTTACGCATAGTTAATGCTATTGGCTGTTTTATGCCTACGCAAATGTTTAGGAGGTCATTATAGGAATACATTAACTAACAATAGCATTTAAGGGAGTTTGCCTTTGAGCCAAATAGCTTTTTTTTTAAAGCCTTGTTTACATCAGAGTTGTCAGAGTTTCCCATAAGCTGCAGTAAGAGAGGTCACCAGGTCATTGCCTGTATCTCTATCATTTCTCTATCTCTCTCTCTCTCTCTCTCCATCCCTCCCCCTCACTCCCTCCCTCCCTTCCTCTCTCTCTCTCTCTCTTTCTATCTCTCTTTCTCTCTCTCTCTCTCTCTCTCTCTCTCTCTCTCTCTCTCTCTCTCTCTCTCTCTCTCTCTCTCTCTATTTCCCCTCTGTTTTATGCATGAACAATAGACAATTAAATATCTATTTAGTTTTTTACATCACAATTACTTTCACTTTTGACAGTGTACCAGATCTTTTTAGGCCAAGACAAACGGTTGGGACACAAAATAAAAAGAAAAAACCAGATAGTAAGTTTTTGTTAGTGTCACTTTTTTGTGTGTATGTTTTTGTTTGTTATTGTGGCTTCAGAGAAGTAGTTACCATTAGGATACTTTCTCAATGTTAATCTTTATCTTCTTCTTCTTCTTTGAGTTTACCAGCTGTAAACTCTGGTGGAAAGTTCTGGTTGTTCGTCCACTTCTGGACTGCAGTCCTGTTCTAGAACCTGAGTGTGGCATGTGCACCCGTTTGACAGATCTGACACATTTTTGTGCAGACTGTTGGTTTCTTGCCTCTCAGGCAGATGCACTCTGACTTCGAAGGAAGCTCCTAATTAGTCAACTCTTACGACATGCTTTTTGGGCAGGCAGTGGGTCTGTTTTTGTTTTCCCTATAATAGGGCTCCGGAACACACACGGTGGGAGAGGGGGTTGGATAGAAAGTGGTAAAGAGTTAACAGAACTTGGTGATTAGAGAGGAGTATCATCATAGTACTGTGGTGTTCTTATCCTCACCTCATTGGCTACATAAGCATAGAACAACTGATCACACCTGTTCTGTGCTGGTGAATCAGAAGTTGTTTGCCGTTAGTGAAATATTCATGTCTGACAGCTCCAGGATGAGCCTCTCTATCCACCAGCTTGGACAGTGATACAAAGCAGCACTTAAAGGATATAACGTTTGACTTTTTCTCTGAACGGGCGGACAGACTGGCTGGCTCTGCACAACTTGGTGGAATACTGATGCATGATAAGGCAGACGTAGTTAGTGCCTTGTGGGAGAGCTTGTACAGTTCGGAGGAGCAGATGGATCACCACAGTCTGGTGAGATTGATAAGGAATCCATACACTGAAAGACTAATTCAGCCAGGCGGGGGGGGGGGGGGGGGGGGGGGGGGGGGGGGGTGTTGTTGAAGACAGGTTCTGGAAGATATTCAGCATTAAAGGGAAAACAGAGGCGGACTTTTAATCAGGTCGCAACTGGTACTTTTAACTCTTTGCTGATTACCAAAGACGGTGAGGGAGCATGTTTTAGAATGTCCTAAGTGCAGTTATGTCAATTCTTGATTCATTCATTCATGCCTTCATTAATTTGCAGCTGCTAAGTAACCTAAAGTAACGTTTCGCTAAAAGTAACGCTGGTCTCCCCACGCCCCGCCCATATACACACTAGCTCACTTCAGATTAGTAGTTCCTAAACCTGTCATCTTGGCACAAGGTTACGGTGGTGTTCCGCAATGCCGTTGATATTGCGTGTTGTATATTTCAGCACGCCAGCGCTTTTTAACACTCCAAAAACATGCAGAAACTGGTCTCAACAAAACCCCCCTAGAGAGTGTTGCAGCCTGTGTCACAGGCATTCTCTTTCTCGGAATGAAAATGTAAATGCAAGACATCACAGAAAGCAAACAACAAAGCGGGCCACACCCGTAACCTTCAGGAAAGTTGACCAGTCCAACAAACATGTGAATGAAAAGTTACCTGCTCTATTTGGGAAGATTAATATGAATCTAACCCAAGTTTCAGTTTGGGGTTAATTTTTTACTTGATAATTTTAGTTCTACCAGTATGTCAGAGCTAAAAATGACATACATATGCATTTCACATTCTCTGACCCCATACAGAAGTTCTCACTCTATCAAAATTTTGTTTTGTTTTTTCATTTAGAAAATAACAGGAACATAACAGGAAGAGAAAAGCCATCGTCAACTATCGCATATACACCTGGTACTAGTGCGCCTAGCAAATCTCTTAAAAAGGAGGTAATTATTGTTACTCTCATTGTGTCAAATTAATTATATTTATTTTATATATTACTCCCCCGTGTGGGTTCCGGGGCCCCATTGTGGGGAAAACAAGAATAGACCCACTGCCTCCCCAAAAGCATGTCGTAAGAGTCGACTAATTGGGGAGCTTCCTTTGAAGTCGGAGTGCATCTGCCGGAGAGGCAAGGAACCAACAGTCTGTATTCAAGAGAATGAGATCTGTAAAACTGATGCACACGCAACACTCAGGTTCTGGAGCAGGACTGCAGTTCAGTAGTGGACGAGCAACCAGAACCTTCCGCCAGAGTTTACAGCTGGTGAACGCGAAGAAGAAAAAGTATATACTACTTTCCCGTGGGATTTCCAGGACCTGTTTAGAGGGTGGGGCAGAATAGATCCACTGCCCCCCAACAAGTATGTGGTAGAAGGCAACTAATTAGGTGTTTGCTGAAATCTGATGTGTTAAAAACTGCAGATATCACAGCTATCTGTAAACAACACAAACGTGAATGCAGAAGGAGTAAAAACAGTAATATTTCAATTAACTGTCACATGTTTTAACCACAAATGTCTGTTATCTGTCATTTTCTGAGAGTTTAACGAAACAAACAGACATGTTTTAAAGTAGTGTAGGTTTATAGAATTAAAATGCATTTCTGTACATTGTGACTCTTATATTGAAGTTTATATTGATTCTTTTGTAAAATTAAATACAATATGTATGTATTCAGTTTTAAAGGATTTTATTTTAATTTTCGTCCCAAGTCTGCAGTGAAGTCACATTACTGTATAGAGAGATCTCTGTTCTACGTAACTAACAGATGTGCTTTTCAGTCCATATTAGAAATCAAAGACTCAAACATTGAGTTTGTTAAAAATGTGTTAGATGATTGATGTAGAGAAATAACCGTAGAATCTTCTCAACACACTACACTTAGAGGACAGGCATATTATCCATTCTATTCTAGTTGATGTTATGACTGGTGTCTCACGCATAGTTTTCCTGTCTTGCGGCTCCAGTTGGTACACCCAGGGTATGCTGTCTATTCAGTGTAAAATCATTTTCCACAAAACTTAAATCCTCACAGCGTTTAGTTTCTCGTATGGCATTGATTATGAATCTTCTGTCCATTGATGGCCCATTCCTGATAGTCACACTGCCAGGTAGAACATCTGCTCTCTCATTTCTTTTCACACCAGCATGCCCTGGTACAAAAATGCAGGTTATTTTGCGAAACATTGCTGGCTGTATCAGATGGAGCTACTGTTACCGAATACACCCCAGCCTTGATCTTTTGTAGCATGTTCATTGAGTCGCTGAGAAAGCATGCATTGGAATTCCTGAGTTCTCGGCCATTCTTGGGCCTTTGTCACAGTCATGACTTCTATTGTATGAAATAGAAAAGACTCAAGCTACGAAGCAGACATCCATTGCCTCTTCTACCAGTAAAGACTATTTATCCTGAATGGCTCTGAAATATAGAGTTTAACTAAAAAGGACACAACTTTATTACACACCTCTGAGAGTAGTCAAGGGATGAATATCTTTTGACCCAGTAATGATGCAAACAATGGAGAATGAGAAGCATTGACACAGATTATCTGTTTAAATCCCCACTAATTTCTGAAATCATGAAGGCAGATAGACTGCAATGACTGGGGTAAATGAAAAGAATGGCAGATAACATAGAGATAAAAACTATGTGTACAAAAGAATTAAATGGGAGTAGTAATTGTTCTAATTCTGAAATATGTTGTTAGCCTCGGAATATATTTGTATAGTATTTCAAATTTTGGAGCAGTGGTAGTGTAATGGCTTGATGTTCGCCAATGACTCTGAGGGTCTTGGGTTCATATACGTATCAAGTTGGATTTTTCTTTTTAAAAAGATCTGGGCTCCGAGGTTGATTCAGCCTAAAATTGGTACCAGATAATGTCGTGGGAAGTAAAGGCATTTGGCACAATATTGACCACATTACCCATCAGAATGCTGATTGATCTATACAAATATGTGTTAAGGAAAATATCAGATGAATATTTTACATTTGAATATGCATTTCTACAAAAAGTTTATAAATACACTTTATTTTAAACAAAAGCGGACAATTCAGACTTCATTGACAGAAGAAATACAAGTCATGCAGTCAAAGATGGCATCTTTAGAAGCAAACGATGGTGTCAAAGCATTAGAGAAGTAAGTAACTGTAGACTGTTGAACTCAGTTGAGTGAACAACTGATATCACAGCACGGGGTACATTCCCATAAGTTCTTCACCATCATCATCTTCAGCAGCCAGCGAAGAGTTCCAATGACTGTGGTACAAGAAAAAACAGTCTGATTATATGTTTATCTTGCCTTTCCTCTGCATGTAGAGTGTTGGCCAGATCCCTTGGTAGCCTAGTGGTCATGCCTGGGCAAAATTTGGAGTTAAAACATCTACCCGAAATATTTCAGGATCCTCGCCGGTACTATGGAGCTGGTTTACTGCACTGAGCTAATTCGGACTCAGACTTGAGTTAGAAGTAGAACAGAGCACTTATGAGTTACACCCGTATACCATGATGTTGATCTGTTGTTCAAAACATTAAGCAGCAGGACATGGTGGTATAACATCAGAGATGGTCAAATATATGGGAGTCACAGATTAGGGACATCTCCTGAAGGTTCTGCAGGCAGCTTGGTGTAGTAAAACTATACCAAAAGATTGGGGGATTACTATCATTTTACCTGAATTCAAAAAGGGTGATAACAGACAATGTGAAAACCACAGAGACTTATCTCTCCTCAATGTTCCTGGTAAAAGTTACTCTAGAATTCTCGAGCAGAGCCTGAGAAGACTGGCAGAACCACAGCTAGATCAGGTCCAATGCGGCTTCAGAGCAAACTGAAGTACTCAAGACATAATCTTCACACTCAGACAGACGAGTGAAAAATTCCTTGAATATAAAAGTGAGAATGCACCTGTGTTTTTTGGATCTAGAAAAGGCATTTTATAAGGTTCCTGGAGTAAGCTCTGGGACTGCATGGCATGGAAAAACATTCCGGCATGGCTGATTGGTGCAATACAGTTTCCACAAAAGCTGCAGAAATTATATAATAACAGCAGACCAAACATTAGAAGAATTTAAGACCACTATGGTGTTATACAAGGTGATATTCTCTCACCTTACCTCTTCCTTTTTGTGATGGATGATATCATCAAGACTTGTGAGGAGAAGACAAAGAAGTACTCAGTAGGGTACTAGAAGATGAGATGAATCTGTTTATCAGAGCTGGTATTTGCAGATGATGTGGTCCTGATAGCTAATTCAGAGGCACATCTTCAGTCCAACTTAGATGACTGGAAGGAAGAGCTTGAGAAGAAAGTGATGACTCCTAAACTAAAACCATGGTGAACTCAAGAGAAAAAAACACACCAGATCATGATGAGGCAGTATGCATTGGAGCAGGTCAACCAGTTCAAATACCTTGGAGTTGTAATGGACTAAAATGAAAGCATTAACTCTTTGAGTCCCAGGGGGTTTACAATCACAGGCCCAAGGGGTAGCGAAAAGAGACAAAAAATCGGCGCATCATACGTTCATTGGGCTTATGGGTAGGAACCTATGAACGTAAGATGCGTTTCTTGGGACTCAAAGAGTTAAGATTTTTTATTAATTAAATAATTTTTATTTATTTTTTATTTAATTCTATTATATAATTTTTACGACAGCTAATTTTTTTTTTTTTCATTATTTATTCAATATTTTTAATTTTCTTTATTTTTTTTTTTAATATTTTTTTATTACTAATATATATTTAATTTTTTTCTTTTTTTTTCTTTTTTATTTTAATTTTTTTCTTTTTAATTGGTTACTCAAAAAGCAGCTGCTGGTAGACTTTTCCAGGCCATAAACCGAGGGTTTCTCAGCAAAAGAGAAATTGGCAAGAGGATGAAAATGGCTGTTTACCATTCTGCCTATGTTAAAGTACTGACCTATAGGTGTAAATCATGGGCAATGACAACAGCTCACAGAAGCCAGCTTCAGGCCTCAGAAATGAGATATCTGAATAAGGTGGTCCAAGTGACAAGAAGGAACAGTACGCAATCAGATAATACCCGGGTCTTACAAACTCGAGTGGATCAGTCACAGTTATGATGTTTGGACATGAATGCAGAATGTGAGAAAATCGGCCACCATGGGAGGCTTAGAACCAGGGAACCAGACCTCCAGAGTGGCTCAGAGGACTGGATTGAAACAAAGCCAGAAAGAAAACTGCTGATAGAGAAGTCTGGCGATCTCTCTGGCAAACCTCTACACCCCAAGGTAGATGAGGAGCGATTAAGTAAGTAATGCACAAGTGGTGGTGAAGAAAGATATAAAATTGGCGCACCTTGTGTTTATTGAGCTTCTAGGCAGGAGCCTATGAACGTATGATGCATTCCTTGGGACTGAAAGAGTTAATGACTGTTTGTTCACTTGCTGCCTAAAGGACTTGACCACATCTAGCTCGTCTTGTAATCTGTTCACCAGCCAGTGGTGCATAGCCAGTCTGTCTGTCTGCCTCAGACTGAAGAACATTTTGTTTATTTATTTGTGTATGCCAAAATCCCACATACTTTCTGGATGAATTATATCAATTTGAAATGAAGTTATGTTTGAAGTCATAAAATAATTTTATAAGGTCTCTTTGATTGAAAGATGGTGATAATTTTAAATTGTTAAAGTTAAGATTTCCAGTTCAAATAACAAACATAATCATGCGTATTGCATTATCTTTAAATTTACTGGCTATTTGATTATGAAATAATTTAGTGATTCCAAGTGTTTGATGGCACCAACATTTAATGCTTTTCTTTTTCATCGTTCTTCATCTCTCTATCTCTCTCTCTCTGTCTTTATAAAAATCTCTCTCTCTCTCTCTCTCTCTCTCTCTCTCTCTCTCTCTCTCTCTCTCTCTCTCTCTCTCTCATTTTTCCTCCCTCACTGTCTTTGTATGTGTATGCTCCAACACTAAGCCCTTTTGTACATATTTTCAACTTTTATTACTTTTAGTGTGGCCACTTGACCCAGCTAAGTAACCTGCTTTTTACTGTATATGTCCTTCTTCTTTTATCATTCAAATATTATGTATATAAATCAGTCGACACTTTCTGTGCCTCCTTTTCCATAATTATTCTCAACAATTTTTTTTACCAGCTGTCGTTACTACTTGTATATACCACTTTTTAGAGTAGTTTGTGGAGGAGGGGATGGGGGAGGGGTGTGTTTGTTGCCCTGAGAAGATTAAATCTATTCACTTCTGGTTGTGACATCCAATAAATGCCAATTTATCACCATGTCTGCAATGATGAGTTCTAGAAGAGCGTAGTTGAATTCTGTTGGTTCTGTGTACGCCTGTGCAGTGTTTATTAGGTCAGGAAATAGATATAGTTTATTGTCGGCGTCTTTGGCTCAGAGACTGTGAATGTGCTTCAAAAATTCTGAGGTTTCAGGTTCCATCCCAGCTGCGGGCAATTTGGCAGCAGACTGCCTGGTTTTGGCTTCGACATTGGTATCGAAAGAAAGGTGCACCTTATAAAAAGTAACCAATGAACATGACTGTTTGCGCCAATAATGAGCTGTAATACTGCTTTATGCGTTTTACTTTGCATGTGCAAGCTTCCAGATTTTGTTGTGACTGATGTTTTTCAATAGTTGTCAAATAGGACATTGAAGGATATTTTGTGCGATTGTCCCTGGCACAAAATGGAGCAGTTATGAGGTGACGCATCTGCAGTGACGTTAGAACTTTGACTAATGACTAACCAATGAATATATTGTGAGTATCCCAATACTCAAAGTTAAGTCTGCGGATGTAAAAAAAAAAAAAGCCAATTTGATTCTTACTTCCAGGTCGACCCATCCCTTAAACTGGTACCAGGTAATGTCCTGGGAAGTAAAGATGGTTTGCCTTATGTTAGCCATATCAACTGCTGAGTGCAAAAAGGTCTATGAAATATGAATCTAGCATTTAGATCCACATCTCCAGTTTATGAGTCTGACTATCTGTCTGTTAGTTCATTGTTTAGCTTTCTGCATCATATAGTAGGACTGAGAATACATGTCCTTTAACTTTTCTCATTTGTAATGTTTTTTTTTTTTTTAAATACTTCTGTAGATGTTATTAATTTTTTGCATGTGTAGATATTAAAAATGTGTGCATATTGTTGAAAATATTTGTGGCCAATCCTATTATCTTTTTCACAATGTGGTCATAAAACTTATTGTTATCTATGTGTGTTTTTATTTACCACTGTGCAATAGAATACATGTTTTAATCACTCAAGTTTCACCCTTTTTCTCGTGAACACTTAACAGATTTGAATATCTATGCTTAAACAAAGAAGACACATTAATAGATGGTACAGTTTATTTTCTGGCAGCAGAAGAGGAAGAGGAGGAGGAAGAAGAAGAAGATTGTTAAGTACGTGAGGAGTTACAGGGAAATATGCCAAAAAATAGACTGCAACCTATTGTGTGTGTGTCTTTGTTCAGATTCACAGTTGGCAAACATTGCTTAGATATATGCTTGTGTTTTTAATGTAACTATGTTTACTTCTCCATGTAGCTTGTGTTATAAATGCAAATATATTTACGCTTGTTTGTGTTCTTGTTTTTGTGTACCTGTGTGCATGCACAGAACCCTTGAATGATTTGTAATACTGCATCACTTGCTGTCATTGGTGTGAATTATTTGGTCTTCACATTAGTGTTATAATGAGATTGAAAAGTAATCTCCCTTCATTTTAGGAGCATACATCTTTTCTTGTAGCAACATACCGATGTGAGTCGCAACTATCTCAGTCCTTAGAGTAGAAAATAGGGGTTTTTGAGCTGAAATACTATAGAAAGATTATCATAATGCTATGGACAAAGAATAAAGAAATACAGCATCTTGTCTCAAAAACTGCAATATTTTAACCATATCAAGGGCCACAGCGATTTGAAAAAAAAAAAGAAATAGCAGAAGACATCAAAAAGTTCAAATCCCTCGTCAGGCCTTTAGGCGCATCGGGTATATGGGAAGAGCGCCCATATTTTTTTCAGACCATTGGCACTAGGTGGGTAATGTGGTCAGCATTACGCCGGCCGTCTTTGCATTCCAAGGACAGCCATCCTGGTACCCATTTTAGGCTGGGTCGACCTGCGACGCCCCATACCACGATAAAAATCCACACAGCCAGCAGTGGGTTTCGATCGCGGTACACTGGAATTACGAGTCGGGCTAGCAACACCTAAGCCACTGACGCTGCCAGCAGAAAGCCATAGTACTAGGAAAAAGAGAGAGTGGCCAACCAGCATGAAGATGGGCACAGTATATACGTGACAGTTTTCAAAATTTACTACATTTTTAATTTCTTCATCACTGATACCTGCAGTTGGAGACTGCAAGTTGTGAAGATGCATTATCCCCTGTGCCGGTTGGCAAAGCACTTGAAGATGACTGATTTTGATTTGTGGTTTGAAGATGACTGGTTTTGATTTGTGGTTTGAAGATGACTGATTTTGATTTGGGGTTAGAAGATGACTGATTTTGATTTGTGGTTATCATGAAGTTTTGTCTGTAGTTATGACTTTTTGTGTGATCCATCTGATGCATTGTGTCTTCTTTTCTGCAGATCTTTGTTCTCTACTTCTGGAAAGAAGATATACAGCCATGCAGCAAGCTATCTTCCCTGTGATCCTAGCTATGGGTATGTCTCTATGCTAACAATCAACACTCTATGTGTTGTGTAAGTATTATAATTCATCAGGAGAGGTGGGAGGTGGGGTCAAAGTTCAACATTGCTAGAAGACACTAAAATTGGGGGATCATGAAACACTGAAACCATGAATCACACTATAAAAGCCTGTGTGTCACAGGATAATATTAAAATAAGCCTATGTATTACAAGATAACATTAAAAAAGCCTTCGTGTCATAGGTTAATTTTAAAATAAGCATCTGTGTTTGGGAGTTTTAAAATAAGCCTATGTGTCACAGGATGATATTAAAATAAGTTAAATAACACTTGATATTAAAATAAGCCTATATGTCAGATGCTAATATTAAAATAAGCCTCCGTGTTGAGATAATATTAAAATAAGCCTCTCTGTCAGGATAATATTAAAATAGGTCTCTGTATCAGGATATAATAAAATAAACCTATGTGTCATGATAATTTTAAAATAAGCCTATGTGTCGGGATAATATTTAAAAAAGCCTAGCCTGCCTGTCACAAAATAATATTAAAATAAGCCAATGTAAGAGGATATTATTTAAAAAAAAAAAGCCCATGTGTTAGGATAATATTAAAATAAACCTATGTATGAGGATAATATTAAAATAAACCAATGTATGAGGATAATATTAAAATAAACCTATGTATGAGGATAATATTAAAATAAACCTATGTAACATGATATTATAAAAAAAAAAAAGTTTATTGTCAGAATAATATTTAAAAAAGCCTGTGTGTCACGAGAGAATATTTCGGCCACAGAAAGTACTTATATTATCTCTTTGAATTAGAATTGTTAGTTTAACCACTTCTGCCTCCTAGCATCTGTGTTTAAATACTTTTAGACGTAAGCTTCTGTTGCCTTAAAGCCCCCCTGTTTGGAACAGAAGAAGTTAACAATATCTTGAGACTGAAATAGTTAAGTTGCTGTAAATCTGAATTTTTTTCAATTGCCTGAAGTTATAAACAAATGAATCATATTGTATACTGTTTTCCTCACAGGTTGATACCACATTACAAGCACTGGCTGTCTGAAGAATACACACTGCTACGAAAAATGAGAAAGAAATTAGGTATATTTATATTCACAAAGTATTTTTCTTGTTACTAATGAAACATAAAGTACAATTCAGAAATTTTTGCTTTTGTATGTGCATAATGTATGTATGTTGATATTTCCATATCTTAAAAGGGAGGGCTATTTTGTTAATTTATGTTGTTGATCTTGTGTATTTTGTTTTCTATTTCTCTGTCCAATCTTCCATCCTCGCTGAATACACTGCCTAGGTACTTAAATTCCTTAGTTTGTTTTAAAATCTTTCCTTCAACATTTGTTGACACTTTTCCATCTTTACAGACAGTAATATTCCATTATGCTAAGGGAGGCATGGGAGTCATATCTTATGGCTATGGGGTGGTTTGTCTAGGTTAAAAACATCTCTGATTAATAATAATAATTTTCCACAGCAAGGGAAGGAGATTTCAGGAGCACTGTGGCCATCACAAGTATTTGACTTGGCAAGTGAGCCATGTGTACACTTGGATTAGCACCTGAGACAACAAATCATGCCCCTCCAAGACTGTCCCAAACACAACATATCAAGGCTAAAATTGTGGCCGGAAGAAACATCGGTGCAAGCCAAACTTTGCGGGTCGCTGAGTGAATTACAACAGACAGTAAAGTTTAAATATAGATAATCTGTTTCAAGCATCACAAAAGAAGAAGAAAAAGAACATGTATTTTGCATTTTTTTTTCTCAGACGTTCAGCTCTTAACATGTCTCCGATCCTTTTTCTTCTTTGTTCATATTCTCTTCCTAATTTCCCCCTCTGTGCAATGTGTTCCATGACATCCTAGTCCCATGAATCCACCACAGTACCTGTATTTTTTTCTTCTTCTGCTTGCACACGTCTTTAAGTCATACTAGAGGCCAGCCTTAGCTCCTTATATCCATCTGTCCCCCTCACCTTCCTTATAGATTCCATGCCCCTTTGGAAGGGGGGGGGGGGAAGAGGGTAGACTCACCACACCATGTTGTAGGAGACGAATAATAAACTGTGTTTTCTTTAAAGTCAAAGTTCATCTGTCTGAGAGGCAAAAAACCAAAGTTTGCATACAAATAAGCCAGATCTGTAAAATGTAAATGCACGCAATATGTTCTGAAACAAGACCAGTAACAACTGGAACTTTCCGCCAGAGTTTACAGCTAGGGAATGTGAAGAAGAAGAAGATTGACATCTGTAATTAACCAGAATAATGCGAAGAGAAAGACTGGGTCAAGCTGAAAGCCAGGTCATTTCTGTATAAGTGGGAAATGTATTAGCAAACCATGACCAGAAGCAGACAGCCCTCCAAGGTATTAAATGACTGCCTGCCTATCTGCCATAATGGATCAGAAGTAGAAGACTTGTGTCTTGGTTAGTCCGGTGATTAGTTAATCACACATCATATCTGACTTGGGACTAAAATAGTTAATGATTGTGATGCAAGTTTATGCTGTTAAAATATATCTCTTTAAATCCTTTAGTCGAATTAATATTTCAAATAAGACTTTTTCGAGAGCATTGTTTTATCATTCTTAACCTTCTGTATGTAAATCATTTCAGATCAGGATGATCATTATAAACATTTGAGAAGTCTTCGCACTGCAAAGAAAATGAAGAATCTGACAGTTGGTGATTTTGAAAAAATAATCAGAAAAACTTGAAGCCATGTAGTTGTTCATCACCTTTCAACATGGGCATATGCTCAGTGAATTCACAGTTTCTGTAGACTTGGTAAAGTTTTAAATGCAGTGAGGTAGTCATTTTCACTCCAGCCCCCGCATCCCCCTTGATTATATTGCAAGATCCTCATGTCCCCCTCCCCCATCCTTGAATTTAGGGAAAGATCCCTGTACCCTCTTAAGTATACTGCAAGAGCCTCACACCCTCCTTGAGTAAATGGCAAGGACCCCCCCCCCCCCCCCCCCCCCCCCCATGCCTGGGGGGTCACTGACCCCCATCATAACAAACTATGGTTAAAAAGAGGACAGTATATTCTACAACAATGGAAACAGACATTATGGAGATACATTTTGGTCAGAATGTCTTAATAATCTATAATGTAATGCCTGTGTTATATTAATTAGGTTTTTAACTGTTGATATACAAAATGCTTTTGAAAATAAAAAAATTCCTTGATTTTTTAATATTTTATAGTTTTTTAAAATATATTTTTTTACAATTACACTTATAAGATAACATTATTACAAATAGAAATGCACTCAATGTGAAAATTTTTGACACCCCCTTGAAACCTCCCCACGCCCCCTCCCCCTCCTCCTAAGGGATCATGTTCCTCAGGTGGAGACCCCTGATCCAAAGTCTAAAGCACATGCAGATCCCTATTTATTTGTAAATGAAGGTGGTTGTGATTTGCCATTTCACATGATAACCAGAATTATGGATCAGGTCAGTGCTTTCACCTTCACACCATCCACGTAGCCAAGCCATCAAGTTACTTATTTTCTTTGCCTTCCACTTGCACATTTCCTATCAGTCTTGCCAGTTGTCACTAAAGTTTGAATCTGTCAAATTGTATAACAAGTGAACATTTTTTTGGCTATCTATGTCTAAAAACTCTTAAGTTTATGGCTTTCATGTGTCTTAAAAAAGTCTGCCCGTTTAGTTTTTGTATCATTCCATGATACATGCATGTCTTTTCAGAAACCACATTTCTCCTGCCAGTAAAATGTTTCAGCTTGTCTGCTTATTGTCCATGTCTTACAAGGTTTCATATAATATTTTAAGTTTCCTATACACAGCAAGACAGAAGGGAAAAGAGTAATTGACAAGGAAGAACAAAATGTGTGCAGCATAAAACAGCCACCCTCAGTCTAAACAGCCACCCTCAGTCTACTTGATGATGAATACCCACAAAATATTTGGGTTCGTATTTACATACATGGGTCAGGAAAAACCAGGAAATTTCTGAGATGTATATGCAAAGCCGTGCAAACAGCCTTATTCCCCAATTGGCAAAACAGTTTACTGGAGCCCATAAGGCAGAGCAACTCAGTGAAGAAAATATTTATTTTACTGGCACATCAACATATATAGATAAGCATGGCGTCCCCGGATAAGGGCCCACAGGTTAAGACGACCCTGAGTATATGCTGCCAATGTGATGCTCACCACAACACTGTATAGGAATGTTCAGTGGTCTAAGGGTAAAGGTAAAATCCGGAGATGTGAACCAGCATCATTGCACACGGTTATAAATGTGCTAGCGGGAAGAAAGAAGCAGGAAAAACACAGAAGTAGGGGAGATGAAGGAAAGTTGTGATTAGGACAAAAGGTAATTGTTCCCCGCAAAACAGGAAAGTAAAGGAAAGACAGGGGTTCTTCTGTGCAGAGATCCAAAAATGTTTCACTAAGACCCAGACAAAGAATATTTGTATCGTGAGTTACATAACACCAACCTAAATACATGGCTACACTACGTGCACATACTACAGATCGTACATTGGATCAAGCAAATGAATTATAACTATCACATTAAGCAGCTGTTTATTATACTAAACTGAACACAGAATTAACTTTTACTTTACAAAAAATACATTAACAACAATCAACGTGCTCGACCAGAATCTAAAGTGCTAATCATCTCCAGGTAACAAGGAAATATGATAATGACACCATACGCTCAGCGAGATTACCTCAACAATGGCAAAAACTGAAACAGATTTAACATGGACGTTAAGCTTCAATATGCCACCAGACCAGCAAATCACTAATAGCGACCTGCCATCCTAGCGAGAATATACCCTGACATATTGCACAATATAACTACTAGAGACTACTATTTGAGGACTAAATATGGAAACATACTAGCGCCGTGAAATCATCCTGACAACCGGTCTTTCCCTGCAGTCGCCCATATCCATGCTGGCTAGCCCAATGTGCAGAGCTACAACAGCTGGGTAGGTCTCCACAGGGTGTGTCTGGAAGTCAAATAGACCCAAATAGCGTGTGAGCTGGCTTTTTTTTACACAGTGGCCAGAATTTTCCGCTGTCGTAAACCATACTAAATGAAGGTATCGATCAAACAAACCAAAATCGTCAAGCTGCTGAACAGCTGTCTTTTGCGTTCTCCAGCCTATTACATGTCCGCCCATTATTATTGTTGACGTCCTGGCAGCTACACAATAGGAAACAATTATTGTCTACAAATCCTCCTCCAACTCCTGTTTTAAGTCCCACATAGCAACTGGCCATAGCCACCTGGAATAAAATCCTCCTCCTGACATAACGAATTCACTAGTTACTTGCAGCATCATTCATTTACATTAACCCAAAAATAACTGTCATTGACATATGAGCAAAGCATGACTCGTCCTAAGAAAACAGTAAGGAACGTATAATTCCCAAATAAGAAATTACATCAAAGATGACAGTAGTCATGAAACATCTAGTAAACATTTGCATTTGAGTCTCAGCTACCATCTGTAAAATCACTACAAACCCCCTATCTACATCAGTGATGGTGATATCATCGGAACACGTTAGCATGTGCGCTGGTGTCAGAGACACCATCAGATTGGATTAAACCCCTATATAATCCGCTCCTCAGTGGAACATCACTGACACACAAGCAAAACCTTTTTTTTTTTTTTTTTTTTTAAACGGAACTGCAAAAAAAAAAAAAAAAACAACAACAACAACAACATAGAAATCATCTAACATCAGGATTCTTGATCATTCAGATTTCCTCTCCAACGCCCAGTGATTCTTCCCAGATAAGTTGGCTCAGCTGTTTATTACCTCAGCCGCAGGGCTTACATTAGACTGAATCCAGTCTTGTCTCGGCTGCATGGCCATCGAGAGACGTATCGGACATTACCATGGCTTCGGGGAAGCCTACAAAAGACAATTTGGTCACTACTTTGGCTCTGGGTGAGCCTACAATGAACATCGGACATTACATCGGCTTCGGGGAAGCCTACAATACATTTACTTCTGTCTCGGTCGCATGACCATCGAGAGACACATCAGGCATTACCTCGGCTTCAGTGAAGCCTACAAACTGATA